AATCTCACGGCCATTCTCGCAGCGGCCTTTGGCTAACCGTCGAGCAGAGAACGGCGGCCGTCTGGAACGCGCTCCTGCGGCGGTGGTTCCTACCAGTATATACCAGTATAAAAAAAAAACCTTTTCTTTCCGATCTTGTGCAGAAATGTTAAATGGTAAAGGTGCAGCCAGGGTTGCTTTCCCACCCTCGCCGCCAGTGAAGTTTACGCCGCCGCAGGAGACGCGCTGAGAGAGAGAGTGTCTAGAGGAGAGGATATTACATTTCGATTTAAAGCTTTCGTGACTGCACGGATTCATCTTCTTGGTTCTTTCGGTAAAATTTCGATTTAAAGCTTTCGTGACTGCACGGATTCATCTTCTTGGTTCTTTCGGTAAAATTTCGATGTAAAGCTTTCGTGACTGCATGGATTCATCTTCTTGGTTCTTTCGGTAAAGTCACGTAGAAGGGAAATAATGAAATAAAAACATAATAAAATATTATGCAGGGATTCATCTTCTTGGTTCTTTCGGTAAAGTCACGTAGAAGGGAAATAATAAAATAATAAAAATACAATTATAAAAAAATAATTCTCACGACGTTTTGGCCACAACGCAAGCAGCCGTCCTCAGGTGAAGGGAGACAGCGTCTGATGCTGTCTCCCCGACAGACCTGAGGACGGCTGCTTGCGTTGTGGCCGAAACTTCGTGAGAATTATTTTATTATGTTTTATTTTTATTATTTTATTATTTCCCTTCTACGTGACTTTACCGAAAGAACCAAAAATCGAGGATATTAATTAAGAAGATGTCTTTACCCTTTCTGGCAATGCAACGGGAGCGAGCCACGACCTCAGATTTGGATGCTCAAACACAAAATAGAATTTTTTTTTTGCAAAGCATCGAGTCTGCATTCACCACACACAGTGCCTGCGACAAAACACGCGAACAGACGTGCTCTGATAATAGATGGCATTGTCTTTGAGACTGATTGGCCTGCACCAGAAACAGCCTTCTTAATGGCTTTGTCTGACCTGTGCTCGACCACAGAACGCCGAGAGGCAAACAGTCCAGAGACAATATAAATAAGAGCATGTTTGTTGGCTTGTTTTGCCACAATTGCGTGTGTGCTTAACGCAGACTTGATGCCCTACAAAATTTAGCTATTTGGTCTTTGAACATCTTAACACGTCCTGTTGTTATTGCCAGAAAGGGTTAAAACCTCATCATTTTTGAGTCTGGCAAAAAGGTCCCGTAGGTAGAACATTTATATCTTGAGTACCCATCCACACTGGCCAGCCAGGCATCTCAGAAGAGGTGGGAAGAGCCACACTTCACCCCACACACCACACGCTCACCTGCCCCCCCTCCGCTGTGGTGGCAAAGTTTCCAAAAATCGCCGTCAACCTCTGCCCACCCAGCAGTTGCACGCCCACCGCTGGACATCTGTGAATAGAAAGATCTTCATAGGCCCATCGGATTCCTCCAGTGTATACAACTTTAAAAAAAAAATATCTCATTCTGGTTGAGTTGACATGTGTGGGCAGATGCAGTGCGTGGGTTGGGGAGGGGTTAAGAAAACTTGCACCTTCTTGGTTCTTTCGGTAAAGTCACGTAGAAGTGAAGAATGAAAAAAATGTCATTCTTCACCTGAGGACGGCTGCTTGCGTTGTGGCCGAGAGAATTATTTTATTACGTATTATTTTTATTATTTTATTGCTTCCCTTCTACGTGACTTTACCGAAAGAACCAAGAAGATGAATCCCTGCAGTCACGAAAGCTTTAAATCGAAATAAAACTTGCACCGTTGGATCAACTGCCGCGCCAGGAGATGAAAAAGTCCGGCGCACTGAGCATTTAAAACGTGGTAGGAACCTTTAATCGGAAGGCTGCATAATCGTAACGCGCAAAGTAAAATAGTAAAATCTATGCAATAGGGTACAATGACTCATCTACGTACAAACGAGTTAGGTGCCATAAGTGTGTTCGTAAGTCAATTTGTTCGCAAGTCCAAATGTATTTACTTCCGTCTATTCCAAACACGTTGTACGCCATGTACACGAAACATGGGGGAATGGCTTTAAGAGTTGTATCATCTCCTGTAGATCTAGATGCCACTGGTCCTTCATGTCCTGTAGATGTAGATGCCACCACTGCCATCTATTGCGCGGCGGTTGAACTTACGACTCTCGATCTGAACAGGCAACTCGACATACGGACATGTTTGTTCGTATCTCTGAAAACTCGTAAGTCGAGTGTTCGTGAGTAGAGAAGTCCATGTACTTTTCGATTTAAAGCTTTTGTGACTGCAGGGATTCATCTTCTTGGTTCTTTCGGTAAAGTCACGTAGAAGGGAAATAATAAAATAATAAAAATAAAACGTTAAAAAAAATTTTATGTTTTATTTTAAAAGAAAACTAATAAAATAAAATAAATGTATGATTATTTATTTTATTATGTTTTATTTTTATTATTTAAAAAAATAAAACATAATAAAATAAAATAATATATTTTTCTTTTATTATGTTTTATTTGTATTATTTTATTATTTCCCTTCTACGTGACTTTACCGAAAGAACCAAGAAGACGAGTCCATGACACTATTAATTTGACAATGTACAACATCTTGCTACGCAGTTCACAATCTTAGGCTATTGTGTAAACACCAGGGGCCAATAAGCCCCTCGTTTCACAACTTCACCAACAAGTGAAATAATTGTGTTCAAACGCATGCAGTCATAATAAGAGAGACACACACACACACAGCAGGAGACTATGACCCCGACTCTTGTTTTTTCACCACTCAAATTGATCAAAGAGCCAGTTAATGTCATTCGTAGAAAATTTACATCCTCGTGAGCGTTTCACGCGAACTCAGCAAAAACAAACCCACTACGGTTTAAAATAATTATAACCCGTAAAAACAAAGTTTTTCACTATAAATCCTTTATATGCGTGGCAGCGAACTTAATATAAAGGATTTAAAAATATTCGCCTGTGGAGGACGCGGGGATCGATCCCGCGACCTTTGGCATGGGAAGCGAGGGCGCTACCAACTGCGCTACTCCGCCACGGCCTGTGGAGGGGTTACGCTCTGGGCTCCTACACTGTGACGTTCAGCCAAAGCCATGAATGAGTTCTATTTGAATAAATGTAAAATATTTTTTTTTTGCCTAAAAAGTGTAAAAAATTTTTAAAAAACTTCACGAACATTAATTGTCTCGCACAACGAGTCTGTGTGGAAAATGTCAGCTCGATTGGATCACGGAAAGGGGGTTAAAAAACGACCGGAAGATTTGCACGGTCCTAAGCAAGCAAGCAAGTGAACTTAATATAAAGGATTTTAAAAAAATCGCCCTGGCCTCAATTTAGACGCCATCAACATGCGTAGCACCTCGTCCGACTCGTAGTAAATTGGACAGACGAGGGGTAAGTGCTGTGCCCGATTATCCTAGGAGCAACAGTAGCTACAAATGCTACGGGCCCCGCACTTTCAAAGGCACCGCGCTAAATGCTTTCAAGCTATCAATTCTGGTTAAGTGATTTTGCATTTGCTCTATTACTATAGCGCTATAATGTCTTTAACTTTTATTAACGACTGGGTGTTGAAGGTTAGCGATTTGTCGTATTAGCTGGCTGTATAGCAAATGAAAAAAATACAATTACTTTACTATGCAATAAAAACAATTGTGTTTTAATATCGATTTAAAGCTTTCGTGACTGCAGGGATTCATCTTCTTGCTTCTTTCGGTAAAGTCACGTAGAAGGGAAATAATAAAAAAAAACAATAAAATACAATTCTCTTGTATTATATTATGTTTTATTTTTATTATTTTATTATTTCCCTTCTACGTGACTTTACCGAAAGAACCAAGAAGATGTGTTTTAATATTTATGCGTTTTTTTTATTTTATTTAGGGCCCCTTTATAACATATGCTATAGGCCCCGCACTAGCTTAATCCGGCCACTGGGTAAGTGACGAGTTTTATTCCAACTACAGCCCAATTCTTTAGCCTCGCTCGGAATGGCAATGTCCTTAAAGTGAAGTGCTCCTGTAAGGAGGGTGGGTGGCGGTAGATGTGACGTCAGCGTGACGCACGAACCCCGGGCTCAGCACTGTGGGGACGCGGGTGACGTCACCACTCAGACGCACGCGGTGACGTCACCACACGCGCACTCGGGCGCGTGGCGTCCAGGCAGACAGGAATCCACTCAGTGGTCCAGCCATTCCATGTTTTATGAAGTACGTATGTTGAACTTATTTTTCACCGTACGTAGCCAGCCGTGCTAATCGGAGGTGCGGGGGAAGGACAACAAACTAAACACCAAAAAGCACTTTTAAAGAAAAAAGTTTTCAATCCGGATGATTTAAAAGTGCATAGCTCCGGTGGCTTCCCAATGTCGGAAGAACGTTCCAGACGGCCGCATACGCGCGATGCGGCGACCGTCGTATTTGCTCAATGGCCGAGTCAAAAGCTGCGAGGATGACCACAGAGTTCGCGCGATTGTGGTTCATGCTCCTTGACGAGGTCAGCGAGGTGTTGTGGTTCATTTGTGGCAGGCACTTTGTGCGCGTGTGTGATGAGTGCGACTTCACAGGTAACCGGAGGCCAATGCAGCTCAGCGAGTACGGGGACGCCTCTACTCGCGAACATTCGACTTAAGAACTTTCACAGATACGAACAAACCTGTGCCTGTGTCCAGTTGCCTGTTCAGATCGAGAGTCGTAAGTTCAACCACCGCGCAATAGATGGCGGTGGTGGCATCGACATCTGCAGAACGTGAAGAACCGGTGGCGTCTACATCTACAGGAGATTATACAACTTTTAAAACCATTCCCCCGTGTTTAGTGTACCAGCAGCACAACGTGTTTGGAATTTACGGGAGCAAAGTTGCACTTACGAACAAATCGTCTTACGAACAGACCTCTGGAACCTAACTCATTCGTTAATAGAGGAGTACCTGTACCGGATGGACACACGTGCGGTTGCGTGCATGCCTGCCCCTCTCTGTGTCCTGTCAGGTGCGATTCGTCAACAGCAACTGGGTGTTCGGCAAGACCATGTGTCACGTGAGCCGCTTCGCGCAGTACTGCTCGCTCCACGTGTCCACACTCACCCTCACGGCCATCGCGCTCGATCGATACCAGGTAACAGAACAGTGGCAATGCACCCCCCCCCCCCCACCTTGCACACACTAGACAAAGATCCCCCGCATAGCCTTCACAGACTATTGGGGCAAGTGCTGGTTGAGCAGCTCACACTACACTAGCAGTGATGTTTACTGCACACACTGACACACGTTGACACACGCATGCTGACACACACGCTGACACACACACGCCGACACACACGCACAGACACACGCTGACACACACACGCTGACACACACGCACACACACGCTGACACACACACACACACACGCTGACACACACACACGCACACACACGCTGACACACACACACGCTGAAACACACACGCACACACACGCACACACACGCTGACACAATTTTTTTAAAAATAATAATCATCATGCATAACACTGGTCAACCAAAAAAAAACATTTTTTTCTGGCCTGGACTTTTGCAGCTGTTTTAGACTAATTTCAGGGTGCTGATTCCAAATCTGATCTCAGATTTGCTCTATCACATCTCATTTTTATGCTATCGGCATACCCCATTTTCATTGATTTTACCCGAAATTAACTCTGTCACTTATGATTGCAAGTTGTTGCGAGTCAGTGACTGCTTTAGCGTTAAATATGGTGCTGTATTTTTAGGATAGAGTGTTTATAATATCATTTTATGTAGATAACCACACTAATTTAATATTTTTCTTCTGCAGTTTTTATTGAAAATGCAATATTTGATATCTCAAAAACCCGATGTGATAGACACAAACTGATGCCAGATTTGGAATCAGCACCCCAAAATTATCTTAAGCCCGTTGGAATACCTTATTCCAGAAAAAGTTTGTTGACCAGTGTTATTGGTCCCTTTCGGGTTACATCGTGAAGGCACCATCGTCAATGTTGTAACTCTAACGCGGTTTTTAATTCACTCATTTTCAGAGGGAGGCACTTTCGTTAATGAGACATCATCATGAGTGTTAGGGGCCGCCACACATTTGAAACCATTGGGAGTTTGACAGCATCACGATGATGATGATGCTGGGGTGGGTGGAAGAGTGTTTTCACTCTTTGTATTGTCGGGGGTCACCGGTCAGGAACCGCAATCAAGGCCACTAGGGGCCACCGATGGCAACTGGGGCCTTGCGATGAAGGACGCCGCTCCGACACCCCCACACCGCGACAGGCGACAGAGGCAATCAAAACGATTTAAATTTCGATTTAAAGCTTTCGTGACGGCAGGGATTCACCTTCTTGGTTCTTTCGGTAAGGTCACGTAGAATGGAAATAATAAAATAATAAAATAATAAAAATAAAACATTTATTAAATAATGTTTTATTTATATTCTTTTATTATTTCCATTCTATGTGACCTTACCGAAAGAACCAAGAAGACCAATCAAAACTAGTTGTCACGTGGGCTCGGGGTCAAACGTGCCATTTGATTGGGTTGGTCAGCATGAGCGGAGGGACGTTGAGCAGGTCCCGAGTGGCAATGTTTACACACCGGACCAGGTACTCAATTTGAGGCCGAGTGGACCTAGGGAAGGCCCGGGACAGGTTCAGATAATCGTCACTTGTATTGACCATGAGCGGGAATTGAACCCGAGTCACCGTGGTTGTAGTGAAGCACGCTAACCACGTGTCTACGACGATTTCGACGCAGAGTGCATCCGGCACCGTCGACGTTTCGCTGGAGCTTCCAGCGAAAGGTACAAATCTTTGCAGCTGATGAGTTAATGAGTTAATGATGACGTCACCCTGCTGCTGCTGCTCTATATAAGAACGGGAGACACAGCAGAGCCTCACCATTCTGGCGAATTGCCCGATGATTACCAGCGAAACGTCGTACTACTCAAATTGTAAATGTTGTGGTTTCACGCTTCAACACACCGGTGGGCTAAAGCAGTGAACTATTTGTCTTTTGTCAACGTGACACTTTTTTACTGATTGGCCGTGTCGGGTGGTGGAGGGTTGCGACACATTAATAAATAACGCGATCTAAACCCAAAAACGTTGATTATGAATAATATTGGTCGCGGAAGCCTGCCACGTGTTAAACTGAAAGGTGCAATGTGGATAGAGCACGACTTACGATGACAATTATGGCCGGAGTCAAATCGCCTTGTCCTCACTCCAATTCCATTCGGAGCCATTCGTTAAAGCCCCGTGGGCTGCTTGCTTAGGAAGTTATTATAAAAAATGTATACTTCATGCATGAGTACATTTTGATTACACCATTTGTATATACTGCCCCTCTCCCCTCCCTCCCGTATTCCAGGTCGGCATTTGCAATTGAACTGCAATTATTTATTTAACGCGTTCTCGGCACGCGCTCAACAAGCGATGAAGTCTCAGGCCCCTTCCCTCCAGCGTGTGTGCGCAGGGCACTACCGCACAACATTATCGCGTCGCCAAGAGCTGCGACGTTAAGTTTGGAGACTTTGGCCGCTATAAATGTCGACACGCCCGGCCACTTCGTTGACTTTGTCACTGCTGGCCAGAGCCGCTCCTGAAAAATAACGAAGAGCTCGGTGAGGCTTTACCCGGTGAAATAAAAAATATCCATCTTCTTGGTTCTTTCGATAAAGTCACGTAGAAGGGAAATAATAAAATAATAAAAATAAACATAATAAAACCATTCACACGACGTTACGGCCACAACGCAAGCAGCCGTCCTTTTTGCGTTGTGGCCGAAATGTCGTGAGAATGATTTTATTGTGTTTTATTTTTATTATTTTATTATTTCCCTTCTACGTGACTTTATCGAAAGAACCAAGAAGATGAATCCCTGCAGTCACGAAAGCTTTAAATCGAAAAAATATCTAGTTTCGTTTATCTTGATATTTTTCTTGTGATGTCAATCCACTGCTGGCTGAAGGGGATGGTTTGACCATACTTCGCCACGCTGCTCGGTGCAGGTTGGTGGAGGAGGAGGTGGGGTGGGGTGGGGAGAGACCAGACCCGGTTCAGAGAATCACCCGTGGCTGCTCTTAGCCATGGGTCGGTAATTAAATTATTTTCCTATATTTTGCACTCCCATCGTAGTTTTTTTTGTTTCGTTTGTTTCTGTAACCCTCTAAACCGCCCCGACTGGACACCTGTAAACAAATACGCTTTTAAAACACGTAGAATTTCTTCTGGAAAAAAAAACCTAAAATAACCTTTTGATTCTGAGTTTAGAGTTAAAAAAATAAATCTATATTACGTTGCTACACGTAAAAAAACAAGGTCATCACATCTCACCTTACTGCTGTTTGCATCGCACGTGTGTATTTGGTCGCACCCCCCCCCACATCCCCACGCCCCCCCCCCTCGGATGAAGCACACAAGGAGGGAGGGTGAAAGGAAAAATAAGAAGAAAGGATTTTTGCGAGATTTAAATCAGTCGCTTTATCTCCGCTGAAGCCTCATTGAGCTCAGAAGTTATTTTTTTCAATGGCGAGCCGGGCCAAAACGGCTGATATGACGGTAGCGATCATATTCTGAATTAGAATCACGTTACATGGCATGGGGCTGTTTGCAGGGGCTCTTACGCACGGCTGGTATGACGATAGCCGGCACGTTGCATGGAAACTAAAATCCGTCGCATGAAATAGCCTCCGGCAGCTCAATGGGTTCCTTGCTGGTAAAATAAAATAAAATTTTAAAAGCATATTTCATCATGGTAGAAAAGCTCTTGACCAATAATGAATAGAAAAATTAATTAATGGGCTCTCATCTTGCTTAAAGGACATCATTGAGCAAAATTTAATTAGACGTTCGGACGTTTCGTAGTTCCCAATGCATGGATTATTCAGAATGTTAGATCTTTGCTTTGCAATTTCTGCACACCATGAAAAGGGTGATGTATTGGGCATAGCCTGGCTCGTTAAGTGTAATGAAACGGAATTAACTGCCCACTGTGAACACGCGTTAGATCGCTTGCAAAGGCTAATGCCATCCGCACCGCTCGCGATAACCACGAGAATGAAACATCGCCTTCGCATAATAATTATGAAGTTGAAATCAACGCAAACGTTTCGTTGCGATTCGCTACAGGAGGCGCTTTTTGAGGATGCAAATCACGCGCGTTTTCACTTTTAGTGCGTCAGAAATCGTCGAACGCGAGATGGCCGCATGGCTCGGAGGTCAGAGATCGGAGGTCAAAGGTCAGAGACGGCACCGCTGAGAGTCCTGGGTTCGAATCCGGGGTTCGGCCCACTGCCTGCGATTTAAAGCGGGGTCTCGAGTCCAGCGAGATGACTGTCTGAGCCTGGGCATCAATGGCTACACCAAAACAAGTATACCATCACATTTCATGGTTATGTGACATTGAACTTCGATTTAAACTATTTTTATTTTAAACTTAATTTGGAGCTTTCGTGACTGCAGGAATTATTCTTGGGTTCTTTCGGTAAAGTCACGTATCAAGATAAAATAATAAATTAAATTAAATACTAGCATACGACGTTTCGATTGCAACACAAGCAATCATCATCAGGTATAAATTGTGCCTATGTTTGTTCTCTCTCTATGTATCTCTGTGATATCTGTCTGTTTATATGTCTGTCTATGTGTCTCTGGTTCTGTGTTTTATCTCTCTCTCAAATTTAGCATTCTCAGGAAGAACGTAATCAACCAGGTAGGGTGTGGACTGTTATGTTATCCGACTCTCTGTTGTATTACATTACATTTCTAAGTATACTAGATTTGTGTTTCTATTTAGTTTATACCTGATGATGCTTGCTTGTGTTGCAATCGAAACGTCGTATGCTAGTATTTAATTTAATTTATTATTTTATCTTGATACGTGACTTTACCGAAAGAACCAAAGAATATTTTTATTTTATTTGACCAGGTAAGGCCCCACTGACCTATGTAGCCTTTTTTTTCCAGAAGCGACCTGGTCATCACGAATGACAGCCTCGACGAAGTGGCTTCTCATCGCGTGGAACTTTATAGCAGCCAAATACTCTGAAGGCGTATTGTCGATTCTAAACGTGGTGGGGAAAAACCGGAGGGACCCGGAGAAAAATCCACGCGACCACGGGGGAGGGAGAGAGACACGCAAACTCCAAATTTACAGCAGAAGGCGTCAGGGTCAGGATCAAACCCATGACCTCCTGCATACCAGGCGAGGTAGTTAACATCTCTTAGCCACCGTGATGATGATGAGAGAGACACGCAAACTCCAAATATACAGCAGGCGTCAGGGTCAGGATCGAACCCACGACCTCCTGCACACCAGGCGAGGTAGTTAACATCTCTTAGCCATCGTGATGATGATGAGATAGAGATACACAAACTCCAAATACTGTGTACAGCAGGCGTCACGGTCGGGATCGAACCCACGACCTACTGCACACCAGGCGAGGGAGATAAAACATGTTTTTATCGGTGAGTACCACGTGACGAGCGAGACAGGAAGGTGCTGCCCTCTGTTGTGAATGTGGACCAGAGGTCACGTGATCTCGGAGGTAGCTCCTTTGTGTCTACGTCCGTGGGGCCCATTCTGTTTCCTGAAAGAGCAAAACAAAGTCGGACGTCATGCCCAACAGTAGCAGTATGATTCTAGATTTGAAGCTTTCGTGACTGCAAGGATTCATATTCTTAGGTTTTTTCGGTAAAGTCACGTACGTAAAAATTTAAATGAAAATTAATAAAAGTAAAATAAAATCAAATCACGACGTTTCGGAGGCAGCACAAGCTTCCGTCTTCAGGTGGAACCGAAAACAACCTAAGAAGCTTCCGTCTTCAGGTGGAACCGAAAACACCTAAGAATAGTAGCAGTAGGAGCCAGAAATCACGGTCGGAGAGGCATTCGGCACAACCGCGAAAAAGCTCCCATCCAGTATTCCTGCTGCCTCTGAACGACTCCTCTCCATTACATAACACTTCAACGCCGCATAGCACGCGATTCATTTCACATTCCTCCATCACACTTCATCAGTCGGTCTCGCACAGCAGTAATTCGCATTTTGAGAGGAGACCGAGCCCAGCTGATGCTCTTAAATATTTTCAACGCGGATTTCGCCCCCACATTCCAGCGACCGTGGCAATGCACAGAATGACGTGATCAGGGGGAAACGCAACGACCGCGAAAGAGCGTTGGATGACAACTCGGAGCTCGAGAAACGCCGTTCAGGACGAATTTCAAGACAAACTCCTTGGGCTGCCCTGCGCCGAGACCTCCCGGTTGCTCCCCTGAGTTGGATTCCCAGCCACGGTTAAACGTCACGTGGCGAGCGATGTCTCAGACAGTCTTGGGACCCCCTTTGCCAACCAGCAATGGAGAAGTATGGTCATATAACCCCGAAGAAACGGCACGGACGTGGGGATGTACCTCGCCCAGGATACGAATTAACCGAGCCCTTTCACGAATTCTCCCTCCCGTTCTGCTGACACCACACTTTTAACACCCCCCCCCCACCCCCCACACAGACTGCTCAATTATCTCAAGCACTATCGTCTCATGCACAATTTGGATAATTGCCGTTAGGCACCTCGCAACAAAGGCGCCGTTGTATAAATCGATGTCAGATACGGGTACGGACGTCATATACATACACACACGGTATTTGTGTGTGTGTGTGTATGTATAGATGTGTGTATGTGTCCATGTATATGTGTGTATGTATAGGTGTGTGTGTATGTGTGTATTGGTGTGTGTGTCTGTGTGTATGTCTGTGTGTATGTATATGTGTATGTATGTGTGTATGTATAGATGTGTGTGTGTCGATGTATATGTGTGTATGTATAGGTGTGTGTATGTGTGTATTGGTGTGTGTCTGTGTGTATGTATGTATCTGTGTATGTATGTGTGTATGTGTGTATGTATAGGTGTGTGTGTATGTGTATTGGTGTGTGTCTGTGTGTATGTATGTATCTGTGTATGTATGTGTGTATGTGTGTATGTATAGGTGTGTGTATGTGTGTATAGGTGTGTATGTCTGTGTGTATCTATGCATGTATATGTGTGTATATATAGGTGTGTATATATAGGTGTGTATATGTGTATGCATGTATGTGTATGTATAAGCGTCGTGGTGACGTCACCGCTACTTAGTGGCGAATGGCAGTTGTTGTTGTATAGGTGTGTGTGCATGTGTGTATGTGTGTGTGTCTGTGTGTATGTATAGGTGTGTATGTGTGTGTATGTGTGTATGCAGTAATTGGTGGGAGCGGTAGTGTAGCGGTTAGCGCGCTGCGCTACGAACCTGGCAACCCCAGTTCGATTCCCGCTCACGGCCAACACCAGCGACGATTATCTGAACCGGTCCTGGGAATCCCCTAGGTCTACTCAAGCCTCAAACGAGTGCCTGGTGCGGTGTGTAAACATCGCCACTGGGGAGACAAAGGCGGTCGGGCGTGGTGCTGGCCACTAACCCCCTCGTGTACCGTTCTGGCCTTCATAGGTATACTCGCTAACAGCACTTGCCCCTACAGTCTGTTACGGCTATACGGGGGATCTTTGTCTTTGTCTGTTGAACTTCTTTCGCACCGTACGTAGCCAAACGGAGGCGAAGGACAACACACTAAACACAAAAAGCAGCTCTAAAGAAATGCGTTTGCCAATCCGGGTGATTTAAAAGTGCATCGCTCTAAATGGCTTCCAAATATCGGAAGGACAGGGGCGTTCCAGACGGCCGCAGAAACGCCTCCGAAAGCGCCCCGCGACGCGGTGACGGCCAGCCACAAGCCGCCGGTGCTGCTGCTGCTGCTTGCTGCGTTGACGATGGTTGACTGCCCCTTGACGGTTCATCTGTGCGCGGAACGAGACGCGGCCTCGTCAACGCTTTTCCGTGTCGGCGATCGGAGGAACGACGTCGGTTGCGCACGCGATCACCTGAATCACCCCTCCCCCCGGCTCATGCAGGTGTGTGTGCGTGCGTGTGTGTCTTATTCGCGTGCCGTGTGCCACCTGCCCAGGTCATAATGCAGCTGCTCAAAGCGCGTGGCTGTGTGTCTTATTCGCGTGCCGTGTGCCACCTGCCCAGGTCATAATGCAGCTGCTCAAAGCGCGTGGCTGTGTGTCTTATTCGCGTGCCGTGTGCCGCCTGCCCAGGTCATAATGCACCCGCTCAAACCTCGCATGTCCATGCTCAAGGGGGGACTCTGCGTCTCCGTCATCTGGGTACTGGCCACCGCCTTCTCCCTGCCCCACGCCGTCTTTCAGAAGCTATTCAGCTTCGAGTACAGGTACAGCACCCCCCCTTCCTCCTCCTCCACTCCTTCCCGTCACCTTCCTCCCGACCCTATTCAAGTCTGCTTTGAAACCCCATCTCTTTAAAGTGGCCTTGCATCCTTAGTTTGGGTCCTGGTTCTGTTTTTGTGTCCTGCTTTTCGTGCATTGCGATGCTATGCTGGATGCCGCATTATACAGATTCCTCACCTACACTTTGGGTTATCCCCAAGTGACACCTCTCCACCCCCCCCCCCCCAGTGCCGGATTAAGCGAGTGCGGGGCCAGTAGCATTTGTTAAAAAGGGGCCCTACATAAAAAAAACCGTAAATATTAAAACACAAATTTTTTTTACATGCACAGTAAAGTAATTGTAGTTCTTAATTTCCTATACAGCCAGATAATACAACAAACCGCTAACCTTAAACACACGGTCGTTCGTAAAAGTCGAAGGCGGTATAGTACTATAGTAATAGAGCAAATGCAGAATCACTGAACCGGAATTGATAGCTTGAAAGCATTTAGGCTGTCGCCTGATGATGCGATTTGTAATTATTGGCGAAACGTTGTACTCAGATTGTAAAAAAAAAAAGATCTCTTTAGTTTATTTCGATTTAAAGCTTTCGTGACTGCAGGGATTCATATTCTTGGTTCTTTTGGTAAAGTCACGTAGAAGTGAAATAATAAAAATAAAACAATACAATTCTCACTATTTTATTATTTCCCTTCTACGTGACTTTACCGAAAGAACCAAGAATATATCTTTGGTGTTGAACATCTTAACGCCTCTGGATGAAGCTAAAACCTCTCCCTATGTTTCATCATTTTGGCTACGTACGCTCGCGAAAAATAGTTCAACGTACGTACAATCTTCGCAGCGCGACACCCTGCCAACTACGCCCTTCCATTCTGCATCACCGTCTTGGGAGCTCTGTCAGAGAGCGTCTTGAGTGAAGGTGTCCTCGATAAAAAATACACAATTAGATTAAGGGGCAGACATGCAAGTAGGTATTTCTATTATTATTTTTACTTAATCCGTATCGACTTTTCAATGTTCTTTGTTCTTTCGGTAAAGTCACGTAGAAGGGAAGTAATTCAGGCGCTGTCTCCCCGACAGACCTGGTCTTCACCTGAGGACGGCTGCTTGCGTTGTGGCCGAAACGTCGTGAGAATTATTTTATTATGTTTTATTTTTATTCTTTTATTACTTCCCTTCTACGTGACTTTACCGAAAGAACCAAGAAGATGAATCCCTGCAGTCACGAAAGCTTTAAATCGAGACTTTTCAATGGTTTACCCTCACCATAGAAGGGCTCACGATGTGACACCGATAGCCGTAATTGGTGTGGAGATGTCAACTACCTCGCCTGGTATTCAGGAGGTCATGGGTTTCATCTCGACCCCGACGCCTGCTGCATAATTGGAGTTTGCGTGTCTCTCTCTCTCTCTCCCCGTGATCGTGTCGAATTTTCTCCGGATCCTCGGTTTTTTCCCCCATCCACATTTAGAATCAACATCACGCGTTTAGAGAATTCGGCTGCCGCTATAGATTTCCACGCGATAAGCCGCTTCGTTGAGCTATCATTTGCGATAGGCAGGTCGTTTCTGAAAAAAGATCGACTACACAGCTCAGTTGGGTGCCTTACCCGTTAAAACAAAAGTAATTTATACTCTTAGGTTTTTCAGTAAAGTCACGTAGGTAAAAAATAAATAATATAATTGAAAATTTATAGAAATAAAATGATAAATCACGACGTTTCGGAGGCAACACACACTTGAGACAGTAAATCTGGCTGTGACGGTCCCACCTGATGACGGAGACTTGTGTTGCCTCCGAAACGCCGTGATTTATTATTTTATTTCTATTATTTTTCAATTATATTATGTATTACTTATTTTTTACCTACGTGACTTTACCGAAAAACCTAAGAGCATGAATCCTTGCAGTCACGAAAACTTCAAATCTAAAGTAATTTAGTTTAAATAGTTTCGTTTATGGATGACATTGGTACGAAGGGTTAGCCAATAATGTGCTATTGCTATGAGCAGCGCCACTGTCTGTCTAATGAATAACACAAGAAGCATTGCTGATGTCCCATCACCGGTCCACCCCGAGCAGATGGCCGCGTGTTTGAGGCACACCAGAGGGAGGGAGATCTGTCACGAGTTGGCTGTGTTTACAAATCCACAATATATCCATTCCCCGTCGGACTCGAGCGGACTACACTCAACAACCACCATCCCTCCTCCCCCTGCCTCCCTCCAGATGGCGTGGAATGTCTTTACAAATTTAGAAACACAATCGTAGACGCGTTGGTTTTTTTGTCGTTGCACTTTTACTTTTTAAACGCTGCGGAGAGGAAGATGAAGAAGAACGTGACGCGTGACGAACGCGACGATGTGGTTTTATTTTTCGATTTAATGCTTTCGTGACTGCAGGGATTCATCTTCTTGGTTCTTTCGGTAAAGTCACGTAGAAGGGAAATAATAAAATAATAAAAATAAAACATTATAAAATAATTCTCACGACGTTTCGGCCACAACGCAAGCAGCCGAAACGTCATGAGAATTATTTTATTCTGTTTAATTTTTATTATTTTATTATTTCCCTTCTTCGTGACTTAACCGAAAGAACCAAGAAGATGAATCCCTGCAGTCACGAAAGCTTTAAATCGGAATTTAGCATATTTATGGGAAATGCAGATATGGGATTAATCACTACTTGTGGAATGTCCATACTTCGCCACGCTGGTCATTGTGGGTCGGTTGAATGAGTTGCCCATGACATCGCTCGCCACTGATCGTTGGTTGTGGCCGGGAAACAAACTCCGGGTCGCCCGGGTGCGTTGATTGAGCGGTGCGCTAACCGCTGCGCCTTCGCTCCTCCGAGCTCACGCGAAACTATCCGCGCACAGACAACTCAAAGGCGCCGGAATTGCAGCGGCGGTTTCGCCTTTGCCATTCGACGTCCCTTTTGTCCACCCATAGTGTTGCTCAAGAGCGGAAAGATGGTGACCTTTCAGAGCCTTGGACATCAATGCAGTGGCATAACGAATTTAAAAACGCCTGGCATCTGAAAGCGGTATAGGAAGTTGTTTATTTGAACTGTTTGGAACACAAGGTCATTTTTATTTTTCCCATCGGCGAGTTTAAACATTTAGAGCTTCCGCAGTACGAAGATTTTCTTTTTTTCGTCCAGTGACATTTTGATGAATGAATCGTGATCTAACTTCTTTTTTCTTCCGTTCGTGTGCGAGCGACCGTGAGTTTGTTCTGCTGTCTGCCGCCGCCGTTGCCGGATTCGCTCGTTCAATATCGGGCGCGACGGGACGGACTCAGGGTGCACGCTCAACGACAAAAAGCAACAACCGGAACGAATACAAATTCAGAAACTTTGATTTGATGATTAATGGTTCACGGTCCTCTACTTTTCTCCCCGCGGTCTCAATAATTGCAGCCACCCATAAATCATTCTTGGCGGTGCACGTGACATTTAGTCCGACGCGTTTAGAATCAACGTGAGATTAGAGGAGTTGCCTGTCCTATATTTCCGCGTGACGATGATGAGCCACTTTGTTGACCTACAATTTGTGAATGCCAGGTCGCTTCTCAAAAAGAGCTATGTAGCTCATTGGGCCTTGCCTGGTAAAATATAAAATATTGTTTTTTTTAATTCGCTTAATGCGGCAACACTTCGGTTTATATCGGGGTGGGATGCGTTCCTGAAAGGTGCGAGAACGAATGTCGACACGACGTAGGGAATCAAAGCGATTTACAGGGTAGTAGTAGCAGTAGTAGTCGTAGGTGGTGGTGTAGGCCGAAGGCTGAGAGGCGACGTGGAACGATAACGGAGGGCCAAGGCCGTCAGCGACGTGAGAGAGTGTGCGTAGGGGGGGGGGGGGGGTCGAGGCGACGCAAATCCGGCCGTGGAGTCAATAAAACAAAGTGGCGACGTATTCGCGAAACGACGTAGCAACAGTGGAAGAGACGTAAACCCTGGGCATCGCTGTACACCCGCAGTATTAATCAGGGCGGACGCTGGGTTCAAACCTCCGCAAACGACGCGTATCCATCCGCCCGCGTCACCCACCGCCGCTCAGCTCGTGAAATAAATTAAAAACAACAACGGCAGCGACGTTTCTCTCTTCCTCCAGCAAAGAGCACTACCGGAGCATGTGCATGCCGGACTTCCCGGAGCCGGCCGACGTGGTGTGGAAGGCCCTGGACCAGGCGACCTTCGTGCTGCTCTACGTGCTGCCGCTGCTCATCGTCTCCGTGGCCTACGTGACCGTCGCCAAGAAGCTGTGGCTGCGCAACGCCATCGGCGACGTCACCACGGAGCAGTACGTGGCCCACCGGCGCAAGAAGAAGAAGACCATCAAGATGCTCATGCTCGTGGTGGTGGTCTTCGCCGTCTGCTGGTTCCCGCTCAACTGCTACGTGGTGCTGCTCTCCAGCCAGGCCATCCAGACCAACAACGGCATCTACTTCGCCTTCCACTGGCTGGCCATGAGCAGCACCTGCTACAACCCCTTCATCTACTGCTGGCTCAACGAGAGCTTCCGCTCCGAGCTCAAGGCCCTCGTGGCCATCTGCAGGCCGCGGGGGGGGGCGGCTCCGGCGGCGGCGGCGGCGGCGGGGGGGGATGCCGGCGGCAACCCTCTGGACGTGATCCCCCGCGCGTCGCGCCAAGGCGTGGGCCGAGCAGAGGCCCTTCAACGGGCCGTCGACGAGCAGCGCCCGGTCCACAGGCAACCTCGTGACGGTCAAGACCGACCTGTCGTCGGTGGAGCCCACGATCGCTGTGAGTGGCAGCAGCGGTGGTAGCGGTGGTGCCGCGAGGCAGTGAGGGCCCCCCCCCCCACCTCCCGGTTAATGCCGCGGTCTGCGCTGTCACGCGGACAGCACCCGCGCCGTTGCCGGTTCGCAGCGGACGTTTCAACGTCCTGCGACGTTACGTTGTTCATGTCGCGTGTTGTTATTCTACTTGCTTCGCCGAGGAAAGATTGACCGTGCCTCGTGACTTTTTTTCACGAAGGTCCTGGCCAGGTTTTTTCGCATTACGGGGTGGGGTCGGGGGGTAGATGATTGGTATGTGATAGATTTCCAATTGAGTAAAAGAGAGCAAGCCATGAGTCCTTGCCACTCAGTTGGAATTTTCCAAATTTGCCTGCAAACTACTCAAATGGGGGGAAAAAGACATCGCAATCATCAAAACTAGCGGACGAAGTGGTTTTTCGCGCGGACATTTTACAGCAGCTGAATCTAAATGTGGAGGGAAAAACCCGGAGGACTGAGAGACAGAACACGCAGACTTCAAATATACAGCAGCAGGCGTCGTCAGGGTCGGGATCGAACCCACGACCTCCTGTTTACCAGGCGAGGTAGTTAACATCTCCTAGCCACCGTGGTGGCCAAAATTGGAGCTCACGGTTGTATTTTTTACAAATATTTATTTTTTATTTGTGCAGGCCCGATACATCTCGTCGTGACGCATGCACACACACGCACACAACACACACCGTCAACATGAATCCAACCCCGTTATGAAAAGCAGGGGGCTGTAGAAAGATGAAGGAAGCAATCTCGTTGCCCCAAACCATCCAAGGTGAGTCCCACCAAGGACAATTTTGTGTTGTTGTTATAATAATAGTAATGGGGAAGGGATGACAAGAGGAGAGTGGGATATAACCAAAGCACGCCTGACATTGAGAATCAAATAAAAACGCAAGAGGCGACCTCAACGAGCATTTTTTATTTTTTATCTTTCGCACTCCTCTGGATCCGGCTCCCCGTATAATCTTGCCGTGACGATGGCCTCCTTGCTCCATGGTAGAGGCCGACCGAAACTGAATTTCAGGTTTCGGTCGAAACCGAAAGTTTAAAATTTACGGTAATTGTTTTTTTACCTTTCGATTTAAAGCTTTCGTGACTGCAGGGATTCATCTCCTTGATTCTTTCGGTAAAGTCACGTAGAAGGGAAGTAATAAAATAATAACAATAAAACATAATAAAATAATTCTCACAATGAGTGAGAATTATTTTATTATGTTTTATTTTTATTATTAAAATATTATGTTTTATTTTAATAATAAAAATAAAACATAATAAAATAATTTTCACAATTAGTGAGAATTATTTTATTATGTTTTATTTTTTATCATTTTATTACTTCCCTTCTACGTGACTTTACCGAAAGAACCAAGAAGATGGTTTTTTACCCTTCTATCTGGAAACAAAACTGACACCTTTTTTCAATGCCAAAAATATGATTAAAAAAAACAATTATCATATTTTTACTGGCAAATGAGGTTCCAATGGTAAAAAATTTACTTTCGGCCGAAACAGAAACTATGCCGAAAGAGGTCATTTGCCAAAAACCCCTCCCCCCCTCCCCCCTTAACTGGTACTTAAGAGCTTACACCTTGAATCCCTGCCTCACTTGATGCAGCAAATCTGGCTGTGACGGTCCCACCTGATGACGGAGACTTGTGTTGCCTCCGAAACGTCGTGATTTTGATTGTTTAATTTTTTATTAATTTTAATTGAATTTTTTAACCTACGTGACTTTACCCGAAAGAACTAAGAGTATGAATCCTTTCAGTCACGAAAGCTTCAAATCTAGAGCCATTTGCCAACTTTCGGCGCCGAAACCGAAACCGAATTTTGGTCTGCCTCTAGTCCATGGTTGCCTGTCTCCCGACCCTCCATCCCGGGTGTTGTACGAGGGCTGGCCGCTAATGGGTGTCGGCTGACGATTGTATTTGATGGCGCGGCGTGTGGCGTGCGGGGGGGGAGGGTGAAGGAAGTTCCAGGACCCTGGGGGCACTGGGAGTTCAAGGAGTGACCACCACCACCTCCTCCCCCTTCCACGACCCCGTCGCTGAGCGAACTGCGACTAAATGCGACGTCCTAGCGACGTTGCATCCGTTCCGTCCGTCTCCGAAAGGGCTTCGTTGAGATGGCGATATTAGCAGGGAACGCCCGCTAAAATAGAAAACGCACATCGGTAAAGTACAGCTTGTTTTTTGTTGGTTTGTTTATTTGGGTGAGATTGCGTACATTTATAAATGTATTATGTTTCATTTTTATTATTGTATTATTTCCCTTCTACGTGACTTTACCGAAAGAACCAAGAAGATGATGAGAACGTATTAATTAGTTTGTTCTTGTTTCTTTCCGTAAAGTCACGTAGAAGGGAAGTAATAAAATAATAAAAATAAAACATAATAAAATAATTCTCACGACGTTTCGGCAATTCAGACGCTGTCTCCCCGACAGACCTGCTCTCCACTGAGGACGGCTGCTTACGTTGTGGCCGAAACGTCGTGAGAATTATTTTTATTATGTTTTATTTTTATTATTTTGTTACTTCCCTTCTACGTGACTTTACCGAAAAAACCAAGAAGATGAATTCCTGCAGTCACGAAAGCTTTACATCGAAACGTATTAATTATTTACGCGATCTATACAATATATAAATTATTTACGCGATCTAACGCGATCTAACCCTACCCCCCCCTGTATTATGCCGATGTGACCCCGCCAAAGCAAAACCCCGTATTGCGGATGACATTGGTGGCCAGAAGCCGCCGCCTACTGCGTCTTAAACTCGCTCACCGCCGCGAGCTGCGGCCATAGCGGCTCGTGACGGTGAGCGCACCGGGGGGACTTGCAGGCCAAGAAGGTCACTCGACACCCCCGTCGAATAGCACCGCGCTGCAAGGACAACAACAGCGAAAACATCAACATATATTATATTGTTTTTATATTATTTTAGTTTATCATGTTTTATTTTATTATTTTATTATTTCCATTCTACGTGACTTTACCAAAAGAACCAAGAAGATGAATCCCTGCAGTCACGAAAGCTTTAAAATCGAAATTTAACATCAACATAGGCGACGCGTGGCATTTTCAGCAATATTGGCCCCCGTACGCTTTGATTCTTTCGGTAAAGTCACGTAGGTAAAGAAAAAATGAAAAGATACATTTTTTTTTATTAAATCACGACGTTTCGATTGCAACACAAGCAATCATCATCACGTGTGACAACCACAGCAAGTAATTGTACTCAAGTGGAAGAGAAGCCGGAGATTGCTTGTGTTGCGCCCGAAACGTCGTGATTTATTAGATTTTTTCTAACTCTACGTGACTTTACCGAACGAACCAAAGAGTATGGATTCCTGCAGTCACGAAAACTTCGAAACAAGATTGGGCCCCTTTCTCAATGCCAGTGCGTATTGTTGTGTTCCTTTGAGGGCGGTGTCATCGGACGGGTCTTGCGCGTTGCGTGTTTGCCCGCGATGTCATTGTTGGCTGCAGTTCGATCTCTCGGCACGGCAGGGTGAAACATCGAGGTGACGTTTCGTAAATGCCCCCCCCCCCCCGCCCCGCCCTTCTCCACCACTGCCCCGGCCCCCCCCCCCCCCGCGTCAATCCAACCCGGCCGTCTAAATGGGTTCACTGCATCGGTCGATCGTCAATCGATTCGGATAGAATCCATTGCTTTTGTTCTGCTGCCTTGCCCAAGATTGCATTTGGTGTTGCCAAATCGGCAGGAATTGACGTAATTATGCAAATTGTTCGTTACATTTGTTATCAGTATGCATGCATGTATGCCGAACTTCATTCGCGCCGTACTTAGCCAAGCCTGCTAATTGGAAGTGCGCGGGAAGGACAACAAACGAAACTAAAAGCGGCTCTAAACAAATAAGCTTTCGTACAGACGGCTCGGTATACTAACGATACCCACACCTCCCCAGCAAGTACAACAACAGGCCCGCTCCCACCGACGATCCGAGCTAGCCGCCGTCACTAGGGGGGGGGGGGGCAGGAATAGGAATTTGTCATGTTGACCTGAGTTCGGGCAGTTTTAGAATCAGTATTTGTATTTATCCTGGAGGAATCCCATACGCTATAAAGCTCTTATTTTTACAGCTGTTCCAATAGTTGGAAAGTCCACCGAGCCGCAGTTTTTTCAGTGGAGCTCTCTCCACCATTCGTACTCTGCGCGCACCAACAGCTTGACAGCAACAACAACAGTGTGATGTACCAGAAGCACATTTATCAAATAATTAACTTATACCTGGCCCCGGAGGCTTAGCGGCTAAGCGAACGGCATTTGTCACGTTGCCCTGAAATCCAGCGGTTTCAGAATCAGAATATTTAGTCATACTAGAGGAATCCGATGAGCTATAAAGTTATTTTCTCACAGACTGGAAGTAGTTGGAAGGGCCGCTGAGCGCCAGTTTTTTTCTTCCGTCTGGCTGCTGACGTGGTTGCAAAGCCACAGCAACAATTTCACATTCAGCTGGTCTAGCCAGGCAACCGCGTCAAGATCCAGCGGAGCAGCAGTTTTGTATCGCCGCTGTGATGTTGTTAAACTGTTGATGCGCGCGGAGTACGAATGGTGGAGAGAAATATCGAAGGGTTTTTCTTGCCGATTTCGAAAAAAATGTCTCGTTATTCTGGCTGCCGATTCCTGTTATAGGGCAACTCGATATACGCGCAGCATATCGAAGAAACGTTTCATGAACTATCTGTTTCGAAGGATGTCCGTGATTTATTCAACTTTGACCCCTGGGGCTCAGTGGTTCCTACAATTTCACATTGAGCTGGTCAAGCCAGACAACGTCGTCGAGAGCGAGCGGAGTAGTAGTCGTAGTGCATCCATAACTTCAAATCGAGATTATTAGTAGTCCATCTTCTTGGTTCTTTCGGTAAAGTCACGTAAAAGGGAAATAATAAAATAATAAAAATAAAACATAAAATTATTCTCACGACGTTTCGGCCGCAATGCAAGTAGCCGTCCTCAGGTGAAAACCAGGTCTGTCGAGGCGACAGCGTCTGAATGAAACAGCACACGCGCTTGGAGCATGTATATAAGCTGGGTTGGAAGGGGGGAATAAAGGGGGAGCCTTGAAAAAAGAATATGCATATCAAGAGGAATTTAGCATATTTATGGGAAATGCAGGTATGTTATTAGTACTGAATATGCCCGTGCATTATGCAGGATTAGCAGCATCAAAGGGAGGGGGATAAGGGAAATGCAGGTATGTGATATGGGAAAGCAGGTATGTGAATAGTACTGCATATGCCCGTGCATTATGCAGGATTAGCAGCATCAAAGGGAGGGATATTATTAGTAGCGTATCGCCGGCTGGGATGTCTGCTCCGTATGTGTGTGGTTCGGGGCAACGCGTCCGTTGCCCGTTGTGCGCAGAGTCCGTTCCCGATGACCCCGCGGTCGCACGTGTTTGTTTTTGTTTGTTTGTTGTTGTTGTTGTTATAGCCACGTGACTTTACCGAAAAAAACCTAAGAGTATGAATCCTTGCAGTCACGAAAGCTTAAAATCTGGAAGTTTTTGTTTCATTTAATTTCCCACTCACACCTTGGGCATCGGGCATCTGCTGCCACGGTTTTGCGCGGTTTGGGCCGGAGCGGCGTCAATAGATGCCAGATTGGTTTTCACGACGACGACGAGGAGGCGATGGGCTGTAGCAGCTGCACAACATTCACGCTCCGGCACCCCCCCCCCCCCCCAGCAGAGATTGTAAACGCAGCTGCCCAGCGTCGAGCCCTGCGCACACCGCTCGCACCTGCCGGCCCGAACTTAGCCAACGCCGTTTAACGCTGTCCCCTCCCCCCACCCCTCTTCCCTCTCCTCCTCCTCCTCCTGTCCCGTGGGTGCAAGTCACAGCCACGTGCGACCTCCTTCGCTCGCTATTCTCAAGCGCCG